AAAAAATCATTAAAAACAGACTAAGGCACATTTCCCCAAACTAAGTATTGTAGTATGACCATGATGAGACAGTAGAGTTGTGTAGTGATTTTGGTGGAACTACAGTGTATAGTATGAAAGTTATTGAATTTTATTGGCAATAAAAATTCTTAAAAAATAGACACAGGTACATTTCCCCAAACTACGTCTTGTAGTATGACCATAATGATACTGTAGATGTGTGTAGTGATTTTGATGGAACTACAGTTTATAGTACGAAAGTTATTGAATTTTATTACCACTAAAATCCCTTTAACAATAGACTAAGCCACATTTTCCCAACCTAAGTGATGCAGTCCTACCATAATAAGATTGCATATGTATATAGTAATTTTGGTGGCACTACAATTGATAGAAGCAAAGTTATTGCATTTTATTTAATAATAATGTTTTTTTCCCCCAAACTAAATGGTGTAGTATGACCATACTGAGACTGTAGAAGTGTGTAGTGATTTTGTTGGTAGTACAGTTGATAGGAGCAAAGTTATTGAATGTTATTCCTAATAAAAAATCTTTAAAAATAGACTAAGGTATATTTCACCAAACTAAGGGGTGTAGTATGACCATGATAACATTCCAAAAGCCTTTAGTGATTTTGGTGGCTCTTCACTCTTTGGAAGTGAAGTTATTGACATGATCCATTTTCGTTTTGCACTTTGCAGACGATCCCTAAACTCTCCTCTGACAGCGGACTGCTCATAGGGAGCAATGTTACCCGTATTTCTTTGAATACATATCGTTTGGACGAAAATCCGGTTGTAGCTCATTGTCTACCTTACCACTGTTAAATAGACACGTATATTGTGTTGTTAGAACGTTTTGTTTAAGATTTATTGAGCCGCGAAGTTCGAATCTGCCAATATCTTTCCAACTTTACCGAACTATATCTTTCCAACTTTACCGAACTATCATAGTTACTCTTGTAGACCGCAACAATACGTACAATTCGTGATATCATAATTACAATGCCGAACCACCAATAAGCGCAAACAAATTCTGTTTCAGTTAAATGTCTTTATGATAAGTGGTCAGGTAAGGAGTAGATTTCAAGCATAACAGACATTTAAAGTTATTACACACTAAACATCTTGATATTAGGCTGCATTTCAATCTAGTTGTAATCTATTTGCTAGCTAGCCAGCGCTGTTCCGATATATATTTCCTCTCTATATATAGAATAAAGTATATAGAGAAATTTCACATAATGAAACACATTAAAACAAGCGTAACCGAAATTCTGAATACAAATACACTTATAGAAGTTATACACGGAAGGTAGCCTACTTACAGTTTCCTGTGTTCGCTGCTACTTGTTTCTCGACACAATAAGACCAGTTAAAAAGCAACTTGAAACATCGGCAGAGATTGTGCGATTTGTAATCACTTTTTGAATTTATAAACCCAAATTGAGGTTCATGTATAACTTCTAATAATCTTCATACGTTGCATTACTTTTGGCTTGTAGACCGGAAGAGGCATGGTATGAGTAAACGTGTACTAGACACTAGTGAGATAAACGACACCTTAGCAAAAAGCACACGGAAAAAAAACTATTTATCAACAAATGCCAGTAAAGGTGCATATATATGCGCCTTTATATGTATATATATATATATATATATATATATAAAACTAAGCCGAAAACGTGATGCAAGTCTTTCCCGTAATGCTAAACATTGCTTATGCGGGAAATCCGAGTGCCTCAGTGTCACCACGTGTCTCCAAAACACAATACATCCGGGTACTTTGCTCTTGAGTATTGCCCCACGCCTTTCGAGTGAAAATAGCACTTCTAATTTGAATGGTGGTAAATGCAAGCAGGTTTTTGCCTAATTAACACTATATTTGTTATAATAACTAAGTAAAAACACCGTTGCTTTTTAGCTATTGGGAGCCCAAACCATTTGGCCAGTCAGGTTAACAATTATAATATATCGCTTCCGATGAAAACTTTAAAAAATATGGGTTCAGTGCCCTTTCAGTCTGTCTCCATCAAAGTCAACAAATGACCACACGCAGTGGCCAGTGGTGGCATATCCTGACACCTACTTGAATCTCAAGGTAATGTACTTCTGACATCTGTCACTCTTTCTGACACTTTATTTTGCGGTTTTGGTATTCTGTCCAATGTGACGTTACTTTAAAGTAATCAACATCTCGAACATTAATATGGTTAACAGCGATTCTTAAACTACTGAAGATACATGAACATTTTGCACACTAGTTACTGGACACAATGACATTATTTACATGAAGTATGAGGCAAAGTTGATTATTTGGGAATTTTTTCTAAAGTCTGTTGATTTGACATGGAATTACCCCAATGCTTATGAATAACAGCTCATTGGCAAATGCATCATCTTTGTGTATTGAACAGATTTATTTATTATCCTGTCTTAAGAAATGTAACACACTCATCTAGGGATTTCCTCAGCAAGTCAAAAGAATAACTGAAAATCCCTGGAAGCACATAAGTCCTTCACCAGTAACTGGGTGGACATTGTACTGCACCACAGATCCACGGCTGTGGTAAATTCAAATTGAGCATATTGTAGCGCTGGAGGAACCATGGGGCAGCACGGCAGTTTGGGCTGGTGCCAACCATGTAAATAGTTAGCTGTGATCACTATGCTCTGCAATGCCTTGTGTTGCATTGTAATGTCGTGTGTAGTGCTTAATGTCATCATTCTATATAGCTTGTGTGTGTGTGTTTGTGTGTGTGTGTGTACCCACCGTGTATATTAGGAGTAAGCAAGGCAATGGGCACAGTGGGCAACGTGAGTGTGTTGTGAGTGTGACTGGTACAGGCACAATAAAGCCACTCTGTGGTATAACCCGGAAGTGTTATTTCTGGAGAGCGAGTGGCATAGCTTGGTGACCTGCCTTTACAATGGTGTCAGAAGTGGGATGACCACTTCCTACAACAACCCAATGACTACAGTGGTAGCGGGGAACCCCGGGAACCGAGCGGTGCACCTTCCTGGGGAAATCTGACAGTTTCAGCACCACCACCAGGCAGAACAAGCAGAAGCCCCCCTGCTGAGCACACCAGTACCTGATAGAAGGGGAGTCAAGGCAGCCATCAAGTTCCCACACTATGCTGGGAAGGAGCTCCAGGAGACCTATCTCCTTCAGGTGTGCCAGGCAGCACGGCACAATGCCTGGAGCAATGAGGGGATGGTGGTGCACCTGGCGTTGGCACTCCAGGCTCTCCTCAGCTTGACCCCCGATGAGCAGCAAAACTTCACAGCCCTGGTGGAGGCACTGGAGCAGCGGTTCGGCTGCCGGTGGTTGGTGGAGGCGGAGCAGGAAGAACCGGCAAAGGCAGGACAGTGAAACCCTGGAAGTTCTCGCGCCAGACCTCCACACAGTTCCCTGGGGATGCACAGTAAGCACTGGTTCTCCAAGCCTTTGTTAAGTCTGTAACACTGGAGCGGTTGCGCTAACACATCCAACTGCAGGTGCCAGCCATGCTCTCCTAGGCCTTGGCAGAGGCTACGCAGGCGCAAGCAATCCTGACCTCACCTGCAACATCACGCTGGTCCCCAGCCACCCCATGCTGAACCTGCACCTCTGCGCCTGGCGGCTTCAACAGCGAAGAGGGACAGAGTGTGTGCACAACCCATACAGAGTTATGGTGGAGACGTCGCCAACAGCTGCTGCTCCCTGCCGCTGCTGTGTAGAGGTCAGGCACTTCGCCTGTGATTGCCCTACTTCATCACCCCGCCCATGTCCCGAATAGCCGGGAAACGCAGAGCGGGTGGCGTTGTGAGGGGGACACATGCCAGTCCAACCCCAACAGCTGCACCCAGAGTGGGCCGACTCGACAAGGCTACTGGCCTGTACTGTATGTCAACTGCCTGGTAGACGAGACATCCTGTCGAGCCCTGGTGGACACAGGGTCCACCATCACCCTGATCCACCCAGACATGCTACCAGGTCCCAGCGGAGCTGCGCCGGCCGGTTGGGAGGCGACCAACATTCAGTAGATGTCACTTGTGTCCGCATGGCCATGAGGGGAAAGAGACTACAGTCAAACTTCGTTACAACGTACCTCATGGGACATTAAGAATTTGTATGTTATAACCATAGTATGTTGTAACCAAGTCCCTCAAAATGAATGATAGAACACAAAATGTATATAAAAAAACTTCTCGTCAATCCATTATCCTTGCTTAGTTTTGTTTGCGAAACTCCTTTACGATAATTCTGAATTATTTCCACCTTGTCGGTCAGTGAAATCTGTTATGCTGTTAATCTTGATATGCGGCGGCATGACACCATGCAAAACCATGAAAAAACGGGGGCTGCATGCAAGGAGTCCGGCCGTCGTGGAATGATTCGTGAGGATAGGTTCATACAGTTAGGCGTTGCTAAGCGATGTAGATGGCCGGCAACAGCCGATTCTGAATTGTGCGCGCACTCGGAAGATGAGGCTGTACGTTGTAACGAAGGTCAGTTTGCCTATTTTCCTCTGAAAATCATACGTTATCAGGGCTAGACATAAGAATTTAGGAGGGCACAGCCACTTTGGCCTTGGCTATTCATATTTTTTCTAGGGCACAAGGCCATTAAGCCTGGGCACAAGGCCAAAATTATTTATTAGCTAGTGTGCAGTGGTATTGTTTTTTGTGAAGTCATTGACAAATTAAAAATTTTAATTTGAAAAAATGTTTTTTTCATTTATTTAAATTTCATAGGACACCTCGGGCCTTGTGGAGGAATTTTATTTCCATAAAGGATGCATTTTTTTATTTTCAAAAAAGCAGAAACTTTCCAAAAAGGCATTGGGCCAATACTGAGTCACCAATTACTGTAATTACCAAGTTTAGACAACCTACGCAATACGACCTTCGATTTGAGACAGAATATATACAGTATATATATTTATAGATATATATATAGCTTTGTTTCAAAAAACAAAATCCAACAATAAAGGAGCTGTCAATATTTTTGTATTTGTTTGCTCAGAACAACCGTATTCTTTTAGTGTACAGTACATGACAATTGACTTGACGTTCGTTTTTTGCACACTGCACGCTACCAGTCCTATATCCTCCCAGCAGAGCTTGGTACTTCTCTGAGTCAAATCTGCTCTGCCTCGGCAAATGTTTTTTTACAACACCATCTGACACTTACCTGAACAAAGTAGATAATTTGCAACATTTTGCGGCAGTAGCCGCGAGTTCAGCTTGCTTTCTTTTACGTTCTCGATCTTTGCGAGGCATGGTGACAGCATAAGCAGCAGACGACAACTACACGATGATTACCGAAGAGGACACCTATCTGTTATTCGGAAACCGTCGGATGGCTTTTCCAATCAAAAACGTAACCCCCGATGATGCACCATTGTCATTGCTGTGGCTCCATAGTAGGCTGGACGATACATACCGTACCAGCCAATCATGCGACGAACACATGATCGTATTAGTCCAGAATTCATTGCGGTTCATTCAGTAGTTGGGAATTACGAGATGTGCAGGTCGACCTCGTTTCTCGTATCGAAGGTTGGGTTCGGGTTCAGTACAGATGCATCGATTGTTGACGAGGTAAAGTGGACCGTGTCGTGCGCAAGTCTTTTGTGTAATGAACGTTACTTTCGGTAAAAAGGGGGCATACGGCCAGACAAACATTAAAGGCAGGCCAATCTTGGCCGTAAGGTACTTCAATTTTGAGGAGGCGTGCGGGCAATTTTGAAAGGCACGACGGCCATTGGCCGCGGTGCCGCGGCTTATGTCTAGCCCTGCGTTATATCGAAGTTTACGCTGTAAAGGTGTACGTTCTAAGCGATACCGGCAAATGGAATAATGCATTACGCGAATTCGGGACATTGAAATTTGAACGTTGTATTGGTGTAAACGTTATAAACGGGGTACGTTGTACCGAGGTTCGACTGTACTGTGCATCCGGTTGGCTGGACACAAAGTAGTGCAGGAAGTGTGGCTCACTGACATCGCTGACCTCTTCATCATCGGTCTGAACTTGCTGATTCGACTCGGGGCCACTACTAGGGGCTGGCCAACCCCATGAAATGTGACTGAGCTATGCTGTTTCCTGGGGCTGGTGTCCAACTATGGGCGCTTTGTTAAAGATTTCACCAGCATTGTGAAACCGTTGCACTGCCTTACAGAGAAAGGAAGTGGTTTCATGTGGACGGAAGCCTGCACTGTGGTTTTTAACCAGCTTTGCACAGTGCTCTCCAGTGCTCCCGTGCTAGCATACCCAGACCCGTGTCTTTCTTTCATCTTGGACATGGATGCTAGCAACAAGGGGTGGGGGCTATGCTGTCACAGGCAGGACCCGAAGGCAAGCACGTGGTTGCATACTTCAGTCAGACACTTACTCAGAGCGCAACTACTGTGTGACCCGACGGGTACTGCTGGCCATAGTGCAGGCATGCAAACACTTCCCTCCTTACCTCTGTGGCCGGCAGTTCTGGTTGCGGACAGAACATGCATCACTGGCGTGGCTCCACTGGTTAGAGATGCTGGTGGATTTTGAGATCATCACCCCAGGAAGCCACATGGGAATGCAGATGCACTGTCTCCTGCACCGCAGAGAGTTGCCACTATTGCGGCCAGGTGGAGGAGCAGAATCAGCTCGTTGTAACTGTAGCTGCTGCCCGCATCATGCCAGACATCGAGGGTGCCAAACCCACCAGGGTTTCGATCACCAGTAGCTCACCATGGAGCAGCATGCCGATCCCGTGCTGTCCATGGTAAAAGAGTGGCTGGGAAAAGGCAGGCGATCTAGGCCTCTAGTCTGGAAACTAAGGCCTACCATTCCCAGTGGGACACTCTGGATGAGCATGAGGGGCTGCATTGGCGCTGGTGATCACCGGATGGCACAGGAGAGCAGCTGCTGGTGCCCTGGAGCCTGTGCCCCGCTGTGTTAAGGTCAGTACATGGAGCCATGGCGGCTGGGCATTTCGGGGAGAAATAGATGCTTCAGAAGCTGCTGCAGCGATTCTACTGGCCAGGCTACCGGCAGGACACTGAGCTATTTGTGCACTGTTGCAACATGTGCATGGCTCAGAAGGGTCCTAGCCAGCAATTCCAGGTTTCCCTGCAGCTGTACTGGGTGGGGGATTGGACATCCTGGGCCCCTTCTCCCACACTGAGGCCAGGAACCGCTACATACTCATGGTCATGGACTATTTTACGAAGTGGCCCAAGGTGTATGCAGTTCAGGGACGTGCACAGACATTTTGAGGGGCAGGGGCTCAAGTGAAATAAAGGGCACTCTCATAATTACGTATTTTTTTTCTTTTTTTAAACAAAAAAGTATATATATTAGCGCAACACTGACTTCCTTTTTAAAAAAATAATTAAAAAAGTTAATTTTATCTTCCTCAAACAAATTGTTTAATTTTCAAAAGATGTCTA